AGGGTTTAGGGTTTAGGCTTTAGCAGTTTAGGGGTTTAGGGGTTTAGGGGTTTAAGGTTTAGGGTTTAGGTTTAGGTTAGGGTTTAGCAGTTTAGGGTTTGGGGGTTTAGGGTTTAGGGTTTAGGTTTAGAAGGAGCATGCGGACGCCATTTTGCTAGCCCGAGCACAGCTACTTGGAAATCCGAGCACTCTGAATATTATCCCTCGCTCACGCAACTGTCACATGCAGTCTAGCTGAGCCGAGCACTTTCAGAACCGGGACCCCTTTCGCAAAGTTCAGCTGGCCGCCTGCCGCCTCTCCCAGGATTGCGGACTTCTTGGCCTGTCTCGAGCAGGCGCGCGACGAAGCGTCAGTTTTTGGGGAAGGGCCTGGGTCGGGGGTGAGAATCTGTAGAACTGCTTGGGCCGATAAACCCCTAAACCCTAAACCCTAAACCTCAGCGACCGCATTGGTTGGTTTCACATCTAGACACTGGGATCACCAGGCCCCCTTCTCCCAGCGATGCCACGTTTGCCCGCTTTGAAGCGTCAGAACTCGAGCCATGGAGGGGAAGAGATACGGCTTCTCTGGTCAGCCTTAAACCTGTGTTCCGATACGAAACCCTCAGTCGATTTCGAGGAATCTTCCTTGCGGCCCATGTGTTTGGTCCGTCTGATCAATAGTCCTTTGTTCAAGGTCCCTTCATTAGGAAACCCCAAGTATATTTCGAGGAAGCTCCCTCAGGGTCAATGTTGAACTTCCCCAGGTCTTCGATCTTACATGCAGACTCCTCCTGTCCAACAACTGCGACTGCGACAGCAGCCCCAAGAGACTTGGTGGAGAATTTTTGTTTCATGTGGGCTTTGATTTACCCCCAACACCCGATCCCTATTGGTTCAGAGCCTGTAGTAATCAACCACTTTGACTTGCAAGATCTCCCGGCGAGGATCAGGCCTGGCGGCTTGTGCGGTTCGTCTTTCCCCTAAACCCTAAACCCTAAACCCTAAACCTTAAACCCTAAACCCTAAACCCACAATGTGCTGTACCCTTCAATCGGAGCCCACAGCACAGACGAGCCTGAAGCCCCCGATCTCAGATCGAAGCCCCAAGATACCCAACCTTAAGACTAATATAGGGGCCTTAATAGTTAGAATAGGGTTTGGGGGTATCTTATACTATAATTATAATAAGGAGCCCCCCCCCCAAAAAAAATAAACCTATTCCAATTATTAAGGCCCTGAACATTACCAGCCCACGAAGCCAGAAGCCACAAAGGGCCCCGCAAAGCGAGCAAAGGAGCGACATCAGCGTGTCCGGAAGCAACCTGAAGGTCCCCTTGGCCGAAAGCAGCGTCCGTTTGCTGTGTGGCCTACGGAAGGATGAGAGTTTCCCTAAAGCCTAAAACGCCTGAACCCCTAAACCCTGAAAACCCTGAACCCTAAACCCTGAACCCGAGTTTCGACCTCGGGTTTCTATCCATCCTTACAGTGCCTTACAGTGTTACAAGAGCACCTCTTGCAGAGCAGAGGGGGTGGGGGGCCTTGCAAGCACCTCCCAGAACTCGCTTCCGAGGTCGTCTGCGTGGTGAAAGGTGGGGAGTTTTCCAAAAAATCTGTCTTTAGCTGCTGCCATGGCCTTACAAGGGTTTCTCGAACTTAAGCTACCGAAACCGGTCTTCCTTCTTGTGCTCCTGACTTTTGACAAGAACGCGTCAACAGAGCAACACCCGGCCACGCAAGCATCCAGTTCCGCGCCTTAAGGGGATGCATTGGGCCATTCCGGCATAGCAAAGCCCTCAAAAACCGCCCCGAAAAAGCCCCCCAAACCCCCAAGCGCCCCAGGCCTCCAGCCCCCATAACTCCCTATCATAACTCATAACTCCCTCTAACTCCTCTCGGCCCCTCTCTTTGGAGTCCTTTGGGCAGGGTTTAGGGTTTAGTACGTGAAGATAACCCAAGAATCAGATGACACCTACTTAGAGATGATGCAAACTTATATCCAGGAGCCTAGCTTCAAGGAATGTTGGATCACCGAGATTGTCTCTTTTTCAATTTCGAGCAGAAAAGCAGGCTCGCGGTTCAGAGTGGTAGAAGGCAAAGGGTAGAACCTCACGCACTCCCCCTTTCGCCTAAGCTTCCACAGCTTAGGGAAACACCTATGGAGTGGTCAACAGGAAAATACATCAGCCTAAGGCTAGAGGAACACCCAACTGTACCCACCCTTCGCGATTGGCCTCCTGGACAAAAGCCGTCCTCGTAGCCACATTCCGAATGTCCCCTCTGTACCGGGACAACCTCTTAGAGGTTACTGAACTTACAGGCTACCGGTGTCCTCACTAACAACTTTGGGCAAGGAATCACACTGGCATATCCCTATCCAGAAGAATCATTTAATGACCCTAGACTATAAAAACCAGTGCTACTGACTGGGGGGAAGCAGCTATGTAACTCCCCTGCCCCTCAAGGCTGTTTCCATCCTATAGGAAATCATCGGCGTCTCTCCACAGGGAATGCCGATGCTTGTCCCGACTTGGCCCTTCGAACCCAGATTCAATCAGAGTCCTCTTCGGAAACACCTCCATCCTCGACCCGAGCTAAATAAGTCCCAACCAAACTGTGGAACTCCGACTGAATCCGCTCCGAATACAACTCAATATCGACTTTAAAGCCAGCATGCCAGAGGCAGAATAAAATACGGCCTCGGCACCTAACTCCAGGACCCAACGGCATCAGAATGATACCATCAGGCTCGGTTTGAGACCCACAAGGGACTCCTCGAGTCCTCCAGATCCTACCGGTCAAACGTCGAAAGACTTCCCAAGTCAGCACAAGCAAGACACCCTTACTTACCTCCCAGAGTACACCACCATCACACCCATAATCAATTTCCACCTCCGGGTTCACCACATCTGATGTTTCCGAGCGGACTTGCAAAGCTGAGCTTACAGGTGGAGGCAAACACTGCGCTTCGAAAGGTCCTCGAGGCTCAATCTTCCCTGCTACTGCCGTCCGAAGGAAGCTCCAGAGAATCCAAACTACAAGCAATCCCAACAGGGCAAGGGACCTTCGGGGCCTCCAGATTTCGCAACCAAGAACCCAGGCAATCTTCCATCTTCGCTCAGGGGCCGGCACTTCGGATAACGAGTTATCCCCGATCCCGGTGCAAGCCTCCGGCACCCCTATCTGAGCCGCTTCTTCTCCGTCAACATTAAGCCCCTGAACCAAGTCGCCTACCTCTGCAGCACTCCAACCCGGCAGTGGCAACACCACTACATCATCTCCATACGGGCATGCCAATACCCCATCACGAACCTCATACCTAGGTCCCGGAACCCCAAATTGAGCCCTCCTAGAACCATTCCCACTGCTGCCACTCGGGCCTTCGGAAGAGGTCCGCGATGGTTCCGTGGTGGATTCTTCCGAACTTTCAGACTCTGACGACTCGAAAAACTCTCGTGCAATTGGAGCTAAGCGCAACACCGGAGCAAGATTCCTCCTAGGTTCCAAGGGTCTCTCATCTAAACTAGGATCATCCTCCGCTTCGCCTACTCCTACCTCTTCAAACGGAAATACTCGCTCCCCAGTTTGGATATAGGCTTCAGCAGCATCCATGGATTGCGGTCCATCCGCAACCCTTTGGATCCCAGTTCTACGTAGCCAGACAATCAAAGCATAGAGAACCCGGTTACGAAATCCCCTAGCCAAACACCCAAGATACGCCCACTCTCGAACCCTATCACCAAGACACGTCAGCACACGACCCACATCTACCGCTAAAACCCTCCACAGATAATGAACATGTACACCCGGAGCCCACACTACCAGTGGAAACAAAGGTCCCAAGGCTTCAGCAGGAGGCTCACCCTCCTCTACCGGATAGCCAGTGAGGATAAACTCTTTCACCGCTGCACACCATTGGGGCCCTGAGAACATCACAAAGTAGGGTCCCCTCTTGAGGACTTCGGCTATCGATCCTGTCATGGCGTATCGAACCCCCATCGAAACCTCCCTTAGCAGTCTCCAGGCTCTGGACCTATAGCCTAGAAACCAAAGGATGATCTCCCCTTGCGAAGACAACAGACTAGCCACAAAGTGCAACTTCGTCCAGGTCCCTACCATCGGGAACCCTTCACAGTCCTCCAAGGAAGAGGCGATATCTTCATAACAAAAACTCCATGAATCCTGAGGATTAGCAAAGCCATGACTACTAGAACTCCCTCCTACCTGAGAAACAGGACCTACAAAAGGGCAAGGATCAGTGCTACTGGCGCTACCTCCATACTGAACGACCGGACTAGGATGGTCCTGATACCCCGTACTCCCCCCGATCTGGACCTGTGAATCCCACGAGTTCTGCGGCTCTGTGCTCCCCCCGATCTGAACCTGTGAATCTGACGAGTTCTGAGGCTCTGTGCTCCCCCCGATCTGAACCTGTGAATCCCATGAGTTCTGATGCTCTGTGCTCCCCCCGATCAGAAAAGAGCTCACCTGAACCCCGGAATTCATAATCATCGCCACTGGGGTCCACACATTCTCATGCTCTACCTGGTTAAACTGAAACACCACTCGCCCTCCACCTGCACTAGGCAACACCGACTGGGCACCTGAATCCCGAAACCTCCCAATCGTCCGAATCTGAGGGCTTCTTTGAAAGCTAACAGACAAGACTTGGATCCATACGACCTCAGGCGAAGCATGCCCCAACAAACTCATCATCTGTAAAGCATGGTCCTCCAAAAACCTAGCTAAATCAAAACACCCCGAAGCGCTGACTACTTCGTCTGGACCAACCACTGGGCCGACGTCTGGGCCCACCATCCAAGACGGTAAAGGTCCATATCTTTGCTGAAACACAGGCACTTCTATAAGGCCCCCTGCTGCTAGAGCCCTGCGAAGCCTTGCCCGCTGCACAAAAGTTAACCCCGTGGCCAGCTCCATGCTTCTCAATTTCGCTTGGGCTTGCTCCCACTCTGCCTCCGTAAACTCATCCCCAGAGCCTTCTGGGACATCACCTGCTACAGCTTCTCCCGGCGCCGACGACTCAACAGCACTCTCCGGTTCACGCGGCTCGTTCACAGTACTACCCAATTGAGGCTCTCCAAAGCTCTCTGCCGGAGACTCTTCTGCTGCAACCTCTACCTGGGCCTCCAGCCCTGGCTCATTGCCAAAACCATCTGAATCTCCCGCAGCGCAGCCCCAAAAAACCTCAATCCATGGAAAACCGGCAGTCCCATGAATCCACCACCATCCCCAGCAGAACGCAACCCCAGTAAAAACGGCACCCAGGACCCAAACCAACCAACCAGCCCCAACCTCAAGTTGATCCCCACTTGGTTGCCCCTTCACCTGGGGTAGTGCAGCAAGCAACGCCAGACCTGCCAAGGCTTCAGCTAACTCGGCTCCCTCTAACAGTTTCGGCAAACCCAACCTACTATGCACCCTTGCACTCCTAGCGGGCTCACTTATACCTTCCCGACACCGTACGTTGGCGAGCTCTAACAGCTGCATAATCCGCACTCTGGATAAAGGCTTTGTGCCTAAGTCGGCAATTTGAAACTGTCCTGGCAGATGCGCAACCTTTAGAAGATTAGCAGAAACTCTTTCCCGAGCCGCTAGGGCTCGCATTCGCAGGTGACGGTTTCGCCACCCACTAGGGGTGGCGTGGAATGCCCTAATCGCTGCTTCGTTGTCTCCTAAAAGAGAAATTACTACGTCGTTCTCGACCAGCTCCTGAACAAGGGGCAAAACTGCCTCGGCCACCTGCACCCCGTGCACCATGCATACGAGCTCGGCCTCAGCCGAGCTTAACGTTACGAACGGTTGGCGGCTAGCTTCCCAAGTCAAGGGTACTCCTTTCCATAATATAAAAATAGATTGCATGCTACGCTCACCTTGTGGACTGTGTGACGCGTCCGAGTAAAGTTCTAAAACCTTCTCCGACCGCGGGAGCGACAACAATCCATGATCAGAGAAAGAGCTACCCACTTCGAAAGGCACATCAATTCCAACCTCAATCGTATCCTTCAGGTAAGCTAACGCCTGCCTCCCTAAACTCACTGTTAGGCAAGGGCATTTCGTAGCTTGCTGGCCGCAACGCGAAACCACATAAGATAGATCTGGACGAGTCCGGGTTGACAACCACAGAAGGGCTCCCGTTATCGCTTGCGCTTCTCTCACTTCCTCCGCCGAGGGCGGAGAACCCACCTCCGGCTCTATCCATCGCGTGATCGGTGTCGACGCAGACTCTTCGATACAATAACGTCCCAACAGTTCACGTACATACGCAGTTTGACACATACGATATCCGCTGCCCAGCTGGGAAAGTTCCATACCGCAAAACGTCAAAGGCCTTCCAGAGAGCCATTCTGGCGTAGATGTCTTCCACCTTTCCTGAACAGCTGCCACAAAAGCCTCCCCAAGCCCTTTCGGGGCTAGGAACAGTAGATCATCGACGTACACGACCAGGAGACCTTCTGTCTCACCGTACCCCATCTTCGTCACCTTGCGTGCTACCCACAGCGCGTCGTCTGACATCGTTTGTACCAAGTGATAATCAGCATCATTCCACCGCAGGTGGAAATTGCGGAATTCCTGGTCTCTGTAGCGGCCCCAGTCCCGCGGGGACGTAGGTAACCCGTATAGGGCCTTGCGGATCCACCACCTATCATTCCTTTCCAAAATCCCTAGTTCCACTAAGAAATCCGGGGGTTTGACAACAATCCGCTCCTCGTTCCCCTGGGATTCACTTCTTATAGGCGCATACAGAAATGCCGACTTCACATCAATCGTGACTCCAGTCCAACCCGAACGCCCAGCTGCGAAAGTAAGAGCTACCTTAACTGAAAGCGATTCCGCTCCGGAAGCATACAAATCGTCCTTCATGAGTCCCAGCTTCTCGGTTGGCAAGTAATTTCCACAGCAGACCGCCCTACACCTTCTTTTACCAGTACCCGACTTCCTGGTCAATACCACCTTACCCGGTAACTGAACTACGTTAATACCCTCGGCGGCCCAGCGGTCTACATCCTTTACCGAAATCCGATCCACTGCACGATTAGTAGTCTCTAAACTATACACTTCATCCTGTGCTTTTTCCTTCCACAAGGTCAGTTCCTTCCTAGCCTCCGCTAGCCCTACAGTTCTGGTCTGCAGGAACTGATCTTGCAGAGGCTCTTCGGAATTCAACGGCACTTCAGACTGCAACGCTCTGACAGCGACCTCGCCACTACCGCGGCTCAAACTCAAGCACTGCTCCAACCACTCACCGTAGCATTCCACACGATTAAGCTGGCGGGTAATCTCGAGTACCTCTTCCGTGGCTTCAAGGGCTTCACAAAGTTCACCCTCTAAGAGCTTACATTGCCTAGCAACCGACTGATGAAGGCCTTCTAAACCCTCAACCAGCTCATCATCCACAATCGGAAGAGGTAATCCAACTACCCACTCGACATTACTTACAGCAATGGTGTGACTCTCGGCATCTTCAGTAGAACAGGCCTTCAGCGAAAGACCCTGCTCCAACTGTTCCTTGACTTTGTCAACCGGAAACCCCAAATCCCTTAAAGCATCCCACTGAGGAACCGTAACGTCTGACACGCCCATAGGAGTAAACGCCGAAATCACCCATCTACTAGCGCCAACCCACTCTTCCGCAACATGCCATCTTTCTCCTGAAAACACGGCTGGCTCGGAACGGACATCAAACACCCTTCCAAACTTCCGAAAACCCCCAGGAACCTCCTTGACAACAGGACCTTGATTACGATCACCTTCAACCCACAGACCCCCTCCCGAGAAGTCACCTACAGCGCGCACCAAGATGTTAAACCCCTTAGCATTTCTTAAGTCCCGGTGAATCGGCATTGTAGTATTCCGAGTGACATACAGAGTGGTCCACACATGGTCTGGATTCTGTGCCCTAACAAACTGATTCAAGTACCTCGTTACCTCCGGGTTCTCTGTAGCTGCTTTAGAGATCCCCTTAAATCCTCCTACCCCATAAAAACCCAAAAGCACAGCCTGTCCCTGACCCCGTATGATAGGCCTTTTAGCAACCGAAAGACTCCCCAACCCTTTCTCCAACACCTCCAAACAGTTCCCATCCGAAACCAAACCCTTCTGTAAATACTCTTCAACCCAAGTACCAAACTCACAGTTGACTGCCCTCAAAGTCACCACGGGTCTCACAGGAGTCGTAGTCCTTCTCCCGGTTCCCAGGCTGCTGCTCTTCAAAGCTTTCGAAAGTTTCTAGAAAAACACCCGTCCCGGAACCAGCTTCCCACATATCCCCAAACTCCCAAGAACAGGCACCCGGAGCCCTTTCAAATTCCGAATCCGACTCACTATCAAAATTCATAAGGGACTCCCCCCCAGGTGCAAACCTGGTCCCTGCTTCTTGGCCCAGGTCAGACAATGACGTAGCCGCTACGACCCGAACCGCAAAGGTTGGGGAGCGCTTGCCCACCAACCTGTATTTGGGCTTCCTTACTACCGCACTACTCTCACGTTGAGGGTAAACCGTGTTAGTCAAGAGCACCTTAAAGTCCCCATCCTGCGGCACCAACACCAAATGCCCTCCCGGAGTATTCGGCGCGTGCCCCAAATAAACGCCCTCAACGGTACGCGGCTCCCATTGAAACTGATATCCGGTCCGAACCCTTTTTCTAGCTTGAACCTTCATTCCAAAAGGCAAAAGAGGTGGCTGAGGAACACCGACAGACTCACAGAATCCTATCCAGTTCCGCGTAGATGCGTGCACGAGCGCCAACGGCCAATATTTCTTATCCAGCGTGGCTGCAAACAACAATTTTCGCACGAAGCCCTTTAAATGCTGAACTGACAACTCCGCCCTGTTTACTGCCGGAGACTCCCCCGCCGTCCAGGTAGCATGGATAGCTTTATTCTTTAACCAAACTATAAGAGCCGATGTCCTAAGCTCCTTAGCCCTATCCGCGTGGTAGCGCTGAACCGGAAACCCAGTCGATTCCAAACGATTTATCACTCCTTGAACATGTGGAAGAATTTCCCGCCCCTGTTTCGATCTCAAGGGCACCCCGAAAAACAAGGTACGATGTCCCTTCTTTGCCGTCGGAATACCAACAGCAACTCCTTCCTCCTGACCTGAAGGAACCTCTGCTTCCCCCGAGGAAACCGGGCCTTCATCCTCCCCTCGCTTACCCCGGACGCGCCTGGTCACCGCATTGACACCCACAGATCCCACACCAGGTAACGCAAAGAATTCCTCTATAGACTCCAACTCCACACCAGGCCCTGGACCTAATCCAGTAGTTCCCTTGTCTGAGGCCTCCAAAGGCATCAATTCCCCACATTCCGACGGTTCATACTCGTCACCATCCCCACTCCCAACCTCCACCGGAACATATCCGTTAGGGATAGCATAAGAGAACGCGAGAAAGTAACGATACCCTTGCCCCCGATCCCGTCCACTGGACTCCACATCCCATGATTGTCCCGAGATAAACGGTCCGGCCACATCTACACTAAGGGAGTGCAAACCTGGAAACCCACTACGCCAATGGGCTCGCTGTCTGCCTTGGGCTTGAACACATACAGGACAACCCTTTCTATAGGGTACATGATCATGTGCAACGTGGGCCTTGTAAGATTCCTCCTCAGACAGCTTCCTTAAAATCAATCTCCTCTCGTTCACCTCCTCCTGCTTACTCTGCTCCCACTTCCACATGACCCAGGCCCTCTGGATAATCCCCAACAAGGTTCCTACCCACCCCGCGCAGTCTAGCCTAAAGCCAAGACCCTCTCTCTGAAGTGCTTCCAACCATGGTTTCATTCTAGAATCCACTCTAACGGCGTGCAAGACCTCATACAGATACCAGGACGAGGTAACCAACCTCGTACCAAACACACCGGAAGCCCCAAAACAACCCTGATCAAACTCCGCCACATTCAAACCATAGGCATTCCTCCAAATCGCTGCCCAGTCCCCACTCAACCTACCCGTTTCCTCCCGTAACCCTAAACCCCCTATCTGGAATTCCACTGGCTCACAGGTGAAAAAGATCTGGCTGAGTTTCGGGGTGTCCTTTCCGACACCCTGATCTGAACGGCTCTGCGGTGCCCTACCTGGTGCCCTGTAGGCCGACGATTCTGGACTGATAGAGGTCCCAACTTCGAGGCCGCTGTCCTCAGAACCCTCCCTAGAAGCCTGAGCTACAGCAAACAACATCATCAACCTCAGAAGCCTTACCAGTCCATCCTCGTCCACAACAGCGGGTCCAAGCTGCAAGTGATCACGTCCCTCGGCTCCCTTCACGAAACCACCTAACTTACCCACCTGAGCCCACTTCATCAAAGTCTGAAACACAAGGCGACAACCCAACCCCTTCTCAGAGTTAGGAACCCTTAAAACCCTTCCAAATCCCTTCCAGGAGTAATGAAATGGCTCCACGGCCACAAGAACTGATCCGGTATCAGCCCGCGATACCGAGCGTCTCAGACGTCGGTTCCAGAGCAACTCGGACCAATCCGTTCCTTCTGACTCCAAAGCTGGAGCACATGCCCTCGCAAGGAATCGCATCGGCACTTCCGGAAAAGCTGCACGAAGATAAACAAGCTGATCCACATCCGTAAGCATTCCTCCCGAACGCTCTCGGATCCTATCTCTAAGCCAACTCCTAGCTTCTGAAGCTGTCAACGACCCACTAAGATCGCCAACTTCAGCCTTGCTCAGAATCGGCTCACCCGCCTTACGCCCCTCATAATCCCGCAAAAGCTTAAGGCCAACTTCCTTAGGGATGAGAGGGCACCCCTTCACGACCACCACTTCAAGCGTCCCCTGCTTAGCATGCTTCACTCTACAACCCTTCTTCTTCCACGAAATAGTGTAACCTAGATCCACCAAATAACTGGCTGGAAGAATGACCTGGCAAGTACCACCATGAAGCAGTGTGCCGTAGATATTGATCCTAAGCTCTGTGGTACCCGATACCAAGTCCACCTTGATAACCTTGCATGCCTCCAATTCCCCCGCAGATGCAGGACGAAGGGCGTTGGTTGCCCCACTGTCAATAAGGCAGTAATTCGGATCTGACGCGCTGGTCAGGGCACTTCGCAACCACGACAAATCAAGCTCTGGGTCTACGTGAACCGCCCTCAACGCTACACCCTTAAGCAACTTCGTAGCCTCGGCAACAAGGGCCTCTGGGGTAGTAGATGTGGAACCTGAAGACGACTGACCCCCTGCGGCATCCCTAGACCCAGAATCCTCCACAACCCCCTTAGCCTGAAGACCCGCCTTTGCCTTCGCCTTCGCCTTCGCTTCACCCTTTCCCGGAGCCTTTGGCGACCCTTCTGACCCCGAATCACCCCTCACAACCCGGTTTTCGGGAGAAACCAAAGGGCAATCAGGCCTAAAGTGATTCTTCTGCCCGCAAGCTAAACACCTACCCTCCTTCTTAGCCTTCGACCGATCATGCTTAAACATGCAAGAATCTCCAAGCCTACAACCGGATGCATCATTGAACTTATGGCAGCTCGGAAGAGTTCCATCTCCGCCCTTTCCTTTCCCCTTGCCCTTAACCTCACCACCACTAGCAACCGCAGCTACAGTAGGGGCCGGGGCCACTACCGGGGCAGGCGGAGGTGGAACCGGTGTTGGAGCCTTTGCAGGCGGAGGCTCTTTGGCCGTTTGCAGCGCTGCTGCCTTGGCACGGCGATCACTTCCCGGCGCTTCAATCAAGGTCATCGCCTCACTCTCAGCCTGAAGAAGCCTAACCAACTGGGTCACCCCCACAGTAGTCGGATTGTAGTCCAGAGCAATATTGTGACGATAAGAGTTAACCCTGAAGGCAATCATCGGGCTACTGGCCAGAAGTGAGCTCGTTGCCCCGTCGATGCCCTTTAATAAAAGGGAAGCATCAGGGAGCGCTGCTCCTACCTCCGTCGCACGCTGGAGGCTTTGCTGCCATCGTCTCAAAATTCGCACGGTGTCTGGAAACGTCTTACAAGGTTCTGGGGTAACTAGTTGGCTTAGCAAGTGTGCCCTTTCCGAAGAACCACCCGGCTGGTAAAGACACAATACCCTAAACAAAATAGCAGAAGCAGACAACCACCTATTCATCACGATATCCTCCTTAACATTGGGTGGGAGAGCAGCCAGCAAAAGACTCACGGCCCTACTTTCAACCCTCTGATACCGAACCTGGTCAAATACGGCCACAATGGATCCCGGATCCAATGCTAAGCGGCCCAAAGGATCGGCCGTCAGCCAACGGTTGTAGCCCTGGCTAGCCGCTAACTCTACCGCTGCAAACCATACATCCCCCGTCGGGCTCAATCCCTGAAAAATCTGCCGAACCTGAGCCAACCAGTTCCCGCAAACTACCGCACTCTCAGCCAAACTAGCATGAACCAACTTAGGAAGTTCCGATATGTACTTAGCGGGTTCCTCTGGCCGATTAGACTCCAAGACCACTCCCGAAGTTCCTAAGTTCCCTCCTACCCCAGGCGCACCTGCAAGCAAAGTCGCCGAGGAAGAGCTTGCCGCCGGCGGTAACGGCGGAGGACGAATCACCGTTCCCCCCGGAGACACAGGATAACCGCTCGAATCAAGCTGAGAACCTCCCTGGGTGAGGCTTCGGGGAGTTTGAAAGCCCTCTTGTCCTACCGAAGACACCCCAGCTAGCCTCGCTCCCTCCCGAAACTGGCGCATGGTCTGAGATCCCTCAGGTTGGGCCTCATACCCTACTGGAGCAGCAGGCAAAGGAAGAGGAGGGGGTCTTTGGGAGGTTCCTGGGAAGGTTGCGTTAGTTGGGAATCCAGGAGGGGCTGCTATTGACTGGGCCTCGAACCTTGCTCCCACACCAGACTGTAGTTCCCGCTGGAAAGTACTATCCCAACCACCCTTAAAGCCTACCATACCTGCACCTAAGAACCCAACCGCCTCCTGACTCGGGAAATCCACATTCGGAAACCTCTGTACACTTAACTCATTTCGCTGCCCAAAGGTCGCTGGAGAGAAAGGCTGTTCCACAGCCATTCCACTATGCCAACTGGAATGCGACCGGCTCTCACGCTCCGTCACTTCGAGTCGGCGCTTCAAATGCCGGTTCTCGTCGATCACTTGGCTCAACAACGCCTCCAGTTTCTCCAGGCGATCCCCAGTTACAGGGATAAGTTCTCGCGGGTCATCAGCAGGGTGCAGAGCTTCACCCTCCCGGTGAGGCTCCTGAAGCTGAATTCTTCCCGCATCCTCATTCGACGTCGACGTGCAAGTTTCCTTCCCACCCGATGGGGGTACTGGTTCCCTTCTAGTCAGTCTCTCAGGAGAATCTCTAGACGCAGAAGTGGCTGCCAGGTCATCTGCCGAGGGCTCCACTCGAGCCACTCGCGGAGCGGTCTGGGAACCCCCGCCTTCGCTTCCCGGCATCCTCCCATAGTCTGGCTCTCCCTCGAAGCTGCCAGTAGGTACCCCAAGGGCACCTTCATCAGGCTCCACCTTCAGACGAACACCATCATCATCCAAGGTGCGAGGCCGATGGCGAAGAAGCTCCACCTCTGCCTTCACTCTTTCACTATGAAATGGGTTCGCTTGAGGAAGACCCAGAACACCAGCTCCTCCCATCTCTAGCGTTCCCGGGGATGCCTCCCCCGGAACAGTGCCATTCGTGGGAGCTACTCTGCCCCCAACGCCAGAGTTCCCACTGATCTCCGACTGGCTCAAGGCTGCTTGATAATCCGGATCATGGGCTGCACTAGCCTCTTCCACCTCCCGATGGTTGCCACCCCTCCGCGACCTAGTCAACGGATCCATGGCTCCCGCACCGAGTCCAAATATTCAAGAAAACCTATAAGTTGATTAACAGGCCTAGCCTATCAACCAAGCCCCACAACCAGCTAACTAAGCCGCTACGGCTGATAACCTACGTGAAGATAACCCAAGAATCAGATGACACCTACTTAAAGATGATGCAAACTTATATCCAGGAGCCTAGCTTCAAGGAATGTTGGATCACCGAGATTGTCTCTTTTTCAATTTCGAACAGAAAAGCAGCCTCGCGGTTCAGAGTGGTAGAAGGCAAAGGGTAGAACCTCACGCATTTAGGGTTTAGGGTTAGCCTTCATAATTCGGGTTTAGGGCTCCTTTTATAAAGGGGCTCCTTTTATAAAGGGTTTAGGGCCGCCTAGGGTTTAGGGGTCCCTTTTTTTGGGCCAGTTTAGGGTTTAAGGCTTAGGGGTCCCTTTTTTAGTAGGGTTTCGGGTCCTTGGGTCCTTGGGTTTAGGGGTCCCCTTTTTTTTGGGGCAGGGGACCTCATGGCCGACTTCGGCTGGGAAGCCTCGGCCTCAGCGAGCTTCGAGCCCTCCTCGCGGGCCAGCGGCGGCAAGGTCCAGATCCCAGGAGCGCTGGCCCAAAATCGAACACCTTCCGATGATGATTGGGGGTATGTTTTGGTAGAATTTTTTTTGGGGCCTATTCTTCGGGGTTTTAGGGGTATTTTTTGGGGAGAACTTTGGGGGTGATTCTTTAGGATGCTTTAGGGGTTTTAGGCCCAGAGAAGTCGTCTCCGAGAGTTGCTCAGCGGAGTCTGCCGGAGCCCAAGACACGCTGATATGGCGACACCCGAAGCCTGCAAAACATTGGATTATGCCGCACTTTACTATGCAAAGGCTGCGTTTCTGCTGGGTCGGAACCCATAAAAGAAACTTCATAGAAGCGTTCATGCTTGTCCCTTTCTCAGAATCCAGAAGCAACTGCCGAAGGCCAGGAGACGAACTCGACTCACCGTCGTCGAAGAGGAGTTGCGTGTTTTGGCCGTGAAAAAGCACACGTCATATAAGCATAGCACGTTCCTTAGGCTGATCCTTAACAATCATGGTTCATTCGTACCCAGGCGGTGTTTAACAGCAGTGTATTTATTTTGGGTCAAGGGGTGCAGCGTCTTCTAGGCTCTCTTTTGGACAGCAGCTGTAAGAGTGTAGCTGTACTATGACAGACCTCAGACCCTACTCCAATGATTAATGAAGGCCCTGTGTAACATAACTCCGGTTTTATGAGGTTTCGTGTGCTTTACAAGGTACAGGGATCTGGCGTTGAAGGCTTTCCCAAGGCTCGTCATGCGTCCACTAAACCCCAAACACAGGATCCCCATAAAAAAAGAAAACATAACAAAAAGACCTTCCAGACCCGAGTCGAGCAGCCCATATCATCGGGATCCCTGTGCTTGCGTGGTCAGCTTGAATCGAAGACTAAGGGGCCGGAATGGCTTCGCGGATCCGTCAACACCAACCGGGTCGCTCCGGAGTCAGGACAACTCTTCAATAGGGCTCCCTCATGCATGGGTCACAGAAGTATGTGGGAGGGAGCTGAGTAGTCGACAATGTCTCAGCTTTACCGAACATGTGCATGTAACAACGCCTCGAAGGGTTCTGAGAGCGATTCCAAAAGCCTCGTCTGGTCGTAAAGGCTCTCTCTTACATTGTCAAGGCGAGCTCCAGGTCCACGGCAATTGCTCGGGTCCTGCTGAGGAGGTGGCACGGAATTCTGGCGGAACTTCATCAAGAAGCAAAGCCAGGACGGGCCCAGTCAAAGATTGCTTGCGGGTCCGGGGGTGTTCTGCCTGCTGGGCATGTACGTCCATCCATCCATGCATGGCTGTACGTCTACATCTATATCTATACCTATATCTAT